GAGAGAGAGAGAGAGAGAGAGAGAGAGAGAGAGAGAGAGAGAGAGAGAGAGAGAGAGAGAGGTTGAATGGCGAAATTGAAATATGGGTCAAACTGCGGCCGCAATCTATTTCGCAGTTGGAATGATTTTTTTAAATTTATGTAGCGTTTGTCCTGGAAAGATCATAACAAAATTTACGAGTACTCCAATTTTCAGGTTTTTTTTACGCATTATTCTGAGCGCGAAAACTCACTGAATTTGAAGTACTTTTTTAGTTGGCCCAGGCATGGCTGAGTGGCAAAAATGGAAAATGTGTTGAATCGGCGCGATAATTATTTCGCAGTGTAAATGATTTTTTGTAAATGTTCTATTATTATTTCTGGAAAGAACACGACCTCAGCTATGGATTCTCAAAATTTTAGATTTTTGTGCATGTTCGTCTGAGCACAGAAAATCATTAAAGTTGCCTCTTGCAAAACGCCTGTTTCGTTGCCTGACCTCCCTGTTTTGAGAAGACGGGGCTCAACGTGTGGGCCTGAGGGCCCTTTTGCAGATCACATGCCCTCACTTCTTTTTGGGGTCCGCTTCTACCCGAGGACCGGCCCAATGCCCCCACTTCTTTTTGGGGTCCACTTCCACCCGAGGACCGGTCCTTCGTTTTTCCAAAAGTCCTGGTTCTACCAGAGCTAGCTGTAGGTAGTCCACAATTTTGCGAAGGACCGGTCCCCCAAATTTTTTTGCCCCTGAAAAACCCACTTGCGTCCTGGTCGCCCACCGCCAAAAATGCGACACCTTGACACAGACGCCGAAGCCCACTATACCGCAGCCTAAGGGCTGCAAATATAGGACGACTTGGCGCAGCATTTATTTCACGATCTTAGACATTTTTTTAATTTTTTTACATATTTTTTGTAGAAAGATCACGACCCACTATACAGGCCTCTTAATTTTCAGAGTTGTGGAGTTATCCTTCTGAGCGCAAAAAATCGCGGAAGTTGGGGTACTTTTCCCGTTGGTCAACACGTGCAAGAATGACAAAAATGGACAGTGCAACTAAATGGTGCGGCATTTATTTCACAGTCTTTTTTTTTTTTTTTCCCTAGAAAGATCACAGATTCACAACCTAATCTACGGGATCTTAAATTTTCAGAGTTTTTCCTCAGTTCGTCAGAGCGCGAAAAATCGCCAGATTCGGTGCTGGAAAATTGCGGGACTGGACCCGCCTGCCACACTGTGCAACGTTAGGGTTTGGACAGACAGGCACATTCTGACCTGTCAGCTGCCTGACGTCGGATACACTTTAAAAAGAAGCAGTCCCCAAAACCACACAGGGACCCAGTCCACCTGTGTGGTTAGGGCAGTTGCATATTTCAAATCTGTGTGTCGGTTCAAACCCCAACAACGACTATTGATAGCAAACTTCAAAATATTAATATGTGTGTGTGTGTGTGTGTGTGTGTGTGTGTGTGTGTGTGTTTGTGCGTGCGTGTGTGTGTGGGGGGGGG